AGTAATTGCTGTTTGCATCGCGCGTGCGCAATTCAACCCTTCCGATTCAAAGATGCGGCACTTTTTCTCTTTCAAGAACATCTGCTCGTGATCGTGTTTTCAAAGCTTCTATGATTCATCTCGCCTTATTGTCTCTTCAACCACTAAAAGCCTCAAACGAAATAAACCGCGCTGTTAACGCCTTTTTAAACTCACTTTAGATTACTTTCTATAATTTGCAGTTCTACCTTCCAGTGATCTTCAAATGGAGCCCTTAGTTATAATTTTGGTGGATACAAAAATTAGACTACCGCGAAATATTTATTTAAAATTATATATTCCGAAACAGCAACCCCTTTTGCCTTGATAAATTTTGTTTTTAAATGGAGACGTAATTTTTGCCACCATTGAATTTATCTAAATTGGTTAGAACCTGCTGACACCTTGTAAGTTCAAACTCATAGCCACCCTTTCAGGTTTCTATTGTTTGCTTCAGTAAAAGCGTATTTGCATGTGGAAACAAAGACAACTGATCAGTTCACGTGCTCTTCCTTTTCAGTGCGGTTTTATTGCGTCGTTTTTCTCGAACTTAACATTTCCGACGACCTTAAAAGGATGATGGACAGAAACACGGCAATTTATTGCAAAAGCCGATTTTAAAAACATTAGTCCGGTTACAGACTACGCGCGTTTCGATTTCAGTTTTAAAATTGCAAATTGGTCGGCGGTACAGCTAAAACTTGTACACAACGCGCGAGTGGAATAAATTAGGACCTCGCAATCGCTATTTAAAATACTATAGGGGGCCTTGAATTCGTACAATAAACTGGTTAAATTTTGGTCTGGTAGTTTTGTCTATGTAAATAATAATGGTCTCTTCATTTTATTTTTTCTACGTTTTTTTTTAACAGTAAACTTTGTTTTAATTGCAGTATTTTATTTCATTTGTTGAAAGGCGATGAATTAGTTGGGCTGTTGCCAACGCCATTTTTAAGATGTAAATTGGTCGTTAACTGCAAAAAGATTTAAATTAAGTGGACACAACAATTAACGAAATGGCTGGATTAAACGCGTTTCACTTTTCACTCGCCCGTTTAGAAGAAAAGACAAATGGGCGTCATATCTCCGTATGACTTTCGTGGAAATTTGAAAAAATAAAATGCGCCATTCCTAGTTTTGGGCCTAAGGAGGCGGCCTGCAACATTTTATTTTATTTCAGAGTCTTCAAATTAGAACCTCCTTATGCAGCATAATTAACAGCTCCATGTATTGCTTCAAAGCTTTCATTTACAATCATAACTTGGCTTTTCTTTTGCGGGATAAAACCTTCCCCTTTTCAGTAAAGACTGCATTGTTTTTATCTGATTAAAAAAAGTGATAACTCCGTACAGGAGTAGTTCGATGTACGTCTTCACACTTACAATTTTAACGGATGACGAGAGGATTGTCGCAGTGACTCCTTGGCTATATTTATACATGTACTATACCCGATTGTTTTTCCTGCCGGTACGAAAAGCTATACGATATAATGTGAACACCTATCCGATATGTGACTCTGCACTCTAGAGATCAGCGAGGCCCAGCTTCGCTCCGTCACAGAAATCGCACCGAAATCACACTTCTTATGTGGGAACTGAAACCCTATCTATTATTTTCGTACCGGCGCAATTGCTATTCGATAAGAAGGTAGGTATCCGGTGAACGTAGACTAGCCTAAATGTTAAAAGATATAGACAAAATGCTATAGTGTTACTGGTTAAATGCATCTCTTGGCAGAACTTTTGCGTTATCCCATTTCTTTCTTAAAATTTAAAAAAGAAATTTTATTTTTTTTAGTTTTTACATTGATCGCCAATATTAAAAGTGAAAAAAAAAATTTGATTTTTTTTCGTTTTTTACATTAATCGCCACTATTAAAAGTGAAAAAAAAGGTGATTTTTTTAGATTTTACATTGATCGCCATTATTAAAAGCGAGAGGCAGCTTCGCTCCCTCACAGAAATCGCTCGAAATCACAGTTCTTATGAGTGAACAAAAGCCCTATCCAGTATTTTCGTGCCAGCGCAATAGCTATCCGGGAAGTAGGTAGGTATCCGGTGTCGGGGAAGTAGCCTAAATGTTAAAAGCTGTAGACAAAATGCTATCGTGTTACTAGTTAAATGCACCTCTTGGTAGAACTTTTGCATTGTCCCATTTATTCCTTAGAATTTAAAATTTGATCGCCTGAGTATTCTTAAGAGTGTAATGAAATGACCCTGTAGAATGACTAACGTGGAAAGTTTTCGGGTTTATGATCAATTCTTAGCCTTTATTTTCGTGTTAAGTGGTGCTAGTGCTTCAGTTTTAGCCCTGATTACCCATGCTTCAGCCATAATTTATTAACTCCGAGTTAAAACTTGGACTTGGCAGTATTTTGCCCATGTTTTTAAATAAATTACCCGATTATTGAGAATACAGCCAATCATGCGGTTCATAATCAGCTGCGTTGTCGCGGCATTTGAAACAAACGGTACTTTCTCACTTCCTCACTTACGTCCTCACTCACAGCCATTATAACTCCTCGATCGAGATTGAAAAAAAGCTGACCGCACTTAAATCGTGTCTTGTAAAAATTGCATTGAAACAACTTCACTCAATTTTTCTTAGTTCTCAGCATTGTGGCACAGGTTCAGAAAAGGAGCTCAAACGTCCAGACAGTATTGTAGCAATATGTTTGTTTCAATACATTCTGTTACAATGAAAATCGGCGGATTAATTTTAGTGCTGAAGTACAGTACTTTCACTAAGCAAAGTACATGGTTTACAGGCGCTATTAAACTTTTTTGTTAAAGCAAACACAAAACTTACATTCAACTCTCTCTTTAAAACGGACACCTTTTGGACCGGCACGAAGTTTCCGTCTGAGAGATGTCCATCTTATGGAGAGTCAAATAAAGGGAGTAAAGAAAGGCAGGGACCAACTCTAGGTATTAGTTCTCAGCAATGTGAATAAGCCACACAGATTCAGATAGTATTGTAGCAATATGTTTGTTTAAATATCTGTTAAAATGGAAATCGGCGGATTAATTTTAGTGCTGAAGTACAGTACAGTACTTTCACAACGCTAAGTATATGGCTTACAGGCCCTTGGCGATCTAAACTTCTTTGTTAAAACAAACGCAAAGCTTACAGTCAACTCTTTCTTTAAAACGGACACCTTTGGGACCGGCACAAAGTGTCCGTCTTTGAGAGATGTCCATCTTACAGAGAGAGTCAAATAAAGGGAGTGAAGAGAGGCATGGACCAAATCTAGGTGTCTGTTTTACAGTGTTGTCCGCTAAGAGAGAGTCGACTGTATGCTCATATTTAATACGGTCGCATTTTTGTCTTAGGGCTTGCCCACACGAATCTGGCCATTTTGGAAATCGCGTATTTTTTTTTACAAGTTTTACCCGCGCGGATTCCTGTGGACGGCGCCCTCAACCACGAGTGTAGAGCGGTTTAAAGAAGATGAGGTTTCGGTGAGCAGATTCACTGGCATCGTGTGGACGGCAAGCCAATTCGTGCAACAAAATGTGCAGTTTCGAACAAAAAAAATGTATCAAAAACTAGGCTTAAATAAGCTTCAATTGCAACTGAAGGCTTAGAGGATGGCTTGGGTTGTTCGTACCGCTTATGTGCCGGGGTAATCATTGGCTGGGTTGTCACTGGGGTGGTCGTCTAACCTGCACCCCGGTTTATTTTATTTTACTTTGTCCGGGTCAGTATGGGCTCCTGACAATGTGTTTGTTTCGATTCTAGTGGCCCTAGAATTGTCGGTTTTTCTCTCCCTCGTGCGTGCGTTTTACAGTCTGTAGTAGCCCTTATGCCATAAACTTTGCCGAGAATAAATAGAAGTAATTTATTTACTTACTTCTTCCTTTCTTTCTTTATTTATTTGCGATGCAAGCTTAAAATAGGAAAGTGGTTGGAACCGCAGGGAAGGGAAACAGAGCGACTTTTCTACCAGTATGAATATATTTTATAGCCTTAATATTAAGCGTTTCAGACCCCAAGGAAGGCCTGACACTCAGGCTGACATTTTTAAGGCAGTTCGGTTGTAAAGTAACAATCTAAGGTCAAACACGACCAAATAATATTTAACAATTGTTCCTTGTATGTAGTCACTCTTCACTCGGGGAAGCCTGTTATTGCAGCCTTGTTTTCTTCAGCTAATATATTTCAAAGAGGATGTCAACCGTCTTAGTCTTTGTTTCGCGGTTGACACGTTTAATGAATGATGCAGCTATATTGAGGCACACTTCCGCGGAGGAAGCTTTAATTTTTACAATCGCATTTACTAAAGCGATTCTTCACGATTACCCGATTTTTCCACGATAGCCAATGAATGAGTTCCGTTTTTCTTTTACATGTTTGATGAGGGAACGCGCTGAAACCTTTCCGCACTTACCACTGAAACGGTAAAAGGGAAATTTGGAAGTGAACCGTCGAAGCATCATCATTTTTTTTGCACTTTCAAAGAACAAGAGACCTTCTATTTGCCCAGTGATAGGCGGTCAATGTTATCAAAGAAACAAGTAGCAAGTGTGTCATTACTGCTTCACTTTAACAATGCATTCAAGGCTTACGTTATGCGAGAGTTTTCAACCGTTTGGCCTGTGTACAAAATAATTATATAAAAGAGTGCACGCGCCTACATGTTGTGTGCCTCTAACAACCAACAAATATGTATGGAATTATAAGTTGAAAGGCCATAATGTGTCTTCTTTATGGAAGCTTTCAATCTCAAAATAATCCTTTAATGTTTCTTCTCCACCTCTAGAGATCACGACGTGGCGTAAAGATGCCAGAACGCAATTGCTCTACTAGCGTAAGAAAACAGCCGACATTTCGCGACGTCACCACTGGTTTGCCCGCGAAATAACGTCTGAGGAACGAGCGCAGAAATTCCTTACGGATGACGCGTCACTACCAAGATCTGGGTAGCGCAGTGTTGGCGTCGCGAAATAGCGGCTGTTTCTCAGGCTAGCACTCTACAGATTATTACCAGTTCTGTACTGCTGGGAAGTCACGAGTAAAAATTCGAAGCGTTTCGTCGTCTTTGAAAGCTGCCCAGCAGTACAATTTCTTGCTGAGGTACAGGCTAGCTCCCAGAATTCCATACTCGAGAATTATATAATAAATTTTTGGTCTATCCGAAATTTCGAACTCGACAGAACGGCTTTGATCGTACACAATTACGGTGGCCTTTTGTGGATCGAAATCATTGCTGGTGTATCCTTTGGAGTCAAATGTTTGGGCATTCACGCATCCATCGTGTGTTTGTAATTTTACAATGAAACGCCCTCCATCTTTAGGCGGAGGAGATGGAGAGGTTGGGTTTGTGGACTCAAGACCCGGATGAAGGGAAGAAACGCGGGAATGAATGGGAGGCGGCTGATCTATCGGGATGCAAACGTCGATGAAATTTCTTTGACCAGCAGCTTGACAGACGTACTTGTGCCTTTTCCAATGCAATGCCTGGCATTCCTTTCCACAATACATGGTTACACCGCAATGATCACAAAACTCTAACTCCACATCTAATCGAAAGCAAAAGGAACACTTTGACTGGCATGTGGACTGTTTCGATTGGTCTCGCTCAATTCCGTTCTGAAAACACTGATTGTTGGACTTAAAACTTGCTGTCACCATGACGGGAAGAGGAACGTCTGATCCCATGGGCAATTCCACTCCTTCACGGAATCCGAACAGTTTCATATGTTTTTCTACATACTGTCTTTCAATGGTGTCTTGCAACTGAACCGGGAACGCATATCCTTCGAAATATCGCAATTCTTCGTGAAAGGCCGGCCCACCGTTGTCATGGATAACGTTATTCTCTATTACACAGGCTATCTTTTCTGGACTTTGCTTGCCAGCTCTTAATCCTCCCATCTTATTGTTACAAATCTGGTTGCCTTTGTACTTGCCACCCGAGTTGCACTGCACCCAAATTCCCCACCAGGCATTTTCAAATACTATATTCCTTTGAAAAAGTAGATCATTGACACAAAGTGATACGCGAACACCATATCCACCATTCTGGTAGATCTTGTTCTCTTGGATTGTCACGGATGAAGCGAGCGCATTCGGAGCACCAACCACGATAATACCCTCGAATTTGTTGTCATAAATTTCACACCCAGTTACTTTGACTTCCTTGGGCAAGACGTATTGTGGGCTTCCATAGATGTGTATACCTTCTGAGTTTCCGTAAATTACACAGTCCTGGACAACTGCAGTCCCATTCTCGTAAACTCTTATGCCGGACGAATATCTAGGCGTGGCTCCGTTTCCAAAAACGCGGCATTTTTTGAAAGAAGCCAGAGCGTTTGGTCCCCCACCCACTATTATTCCACCACCTTTGCTGTTGCTTATTTCACACTTAACGAAAGAAGCTGTCCCTCCGACTTGAATGGCCGGTTTTTCAGATGAAGCGCAATGAAACTTGCATCGATCAAATTCTGCCTTCACTCCAGGCGGAACGAGCACACCATCTTTCGTTTCAAAGTTAATGTTCTCAAAACAGCAATTGCTACTGATGTAAAGTAATTCAGTCCTGAACATGGCAGGTTGGTCTTTTGTTAGAGCCACCAGACTGGTGTACAGCTTGAGCCGTGGAACTTGGCTTACCTCATACTTTGCACCTTGCAACAAAAGAATTTTCTTTTTTGCAAATGGATTATCATTTCGTGTTAAAGTATTCCTCAAGGATTCAGAAGAGCCTATCGCCGCCCAGATGTTCTCTGTATCTTTAAAAGCGTTATGGAAGGCTTCATATCTTCGACAACGATCGGCGTCGTGGTAGTATGCAATGGCTGCAGAGCATGCAGACAGGAGTGCTTTTTTGAGCCCCTTTAGAGCCAATGCTTTCCTTATGTGTCCTTTCCAGCAGTTTGGCAGCATGTGGATATACTCATCGGAATCTTGAAGACATTCTTCATAGTTTTCTAGTCTAAGGAGAGCAGTTGCTCGATTGATAAGCAACCGCGGGTCTGGATTTTGGACCTCTTTGCTTGCCTCGAGAGCTTCTGTGTATAATTTGACCGCCTCTTTAAAACGTCCTTCTTCAAAATGACCGTTACCTTTTAGAGCAGCTACTGTACCCTTCGTTTGATTTTCGGTAGTTTTAAAATCTTCGATGTCTGGTTCTTTAGTCGTCCCCAGACCCTCTTTAGGTTGTTTGTCTGTCGTATTCATTTGTTGTTTCTTTATTCCTCACAAAGGGACAGGTTGGATCTAGAAGGGTGGCAAAAGTCCTGTTTAAAAGGAATCAGTCAAGATTGTTCTTGAAATATTTATTTAAATTACACGGGGCTTAATGGCTTGAAGTGATCCGTGATGAGATTGTTTTGACGAATAATCATTGCGTCCGACTAAAACAGCCGTGCAAGTATTTTGCCGTTTTACCAATAAGGAGTCTACGATTAAAGGAGCTATGGAACGCTATTTGCTGTCTCCTTGGAAAGGTAAAACGTGTCTGCGCATCACTCGAATTCTAAACATAACGGTTCAAGTTTTTCATCTGAGACTATATTTAGGAATCGACTGTTTTCTGTCATTTGTGGCTACAGATGGCAAGGATGACACGGACTGAAACCCAACTTTTTTGAGGTTTTTGTGTCATACTTGAAAAAGTCACCAAAGACAATATTATGGGTAGTTGTTCCTGGTGAAATTTGTTTCATGACTTCTTCACAACTCCACAAGAGTATTTTGTGTATGGCTAAAGGCACTAATTCCTGTTTCAAACGTTGTGCTACTGCTGTGCCGAACTCAATTGATGGAATGAAATCCCGTCGACTTAAGCACTTTGCCGTGCCACACGGCAGTAGTACGACTCGGTTTCATACATTGTGCTACTGCCATACCGAACTCAATTCATAAATTTATTAAAAATACATTAGAATACTATATTTACTCAGGACTTCACTAAACCGCCTTTTATTTTTAAATATTGTTTTATGCAACAGCTCTTTTATTCGACTGAGTTAAATTCGATACATTCGTGCTAGAGTCGTGGTGAATTCGAGCCCGCTTAGAACGACAGCAGCATGACGTTTGAAACAGGAAAAACAGGCCTAGATTATGACTTCAGCATAGCAATATCCTCGTGACATCCTCGCCACTTTAACGTTGTTTTTTTTTTTTGTTAGATCGTGAGGTCTGTACGTAAAGGCCCCAAATTTCAAACAAAACAAGACATTCCAATTCGACAAAACTGAAACCTATCAACAACTACCATTGATCCGCAGTCCCTACCGCTCTGTCCTTAATCCCCGTTTCCAATATTCCACCAGCAAAAGGTATTGGTCACTCAATACAACTTGGGACATTCTTTTTAACCACAAAGTATCAAAAAGAGGAAAGTTTAATCATCATTCATTTTTCTTTCTTTCCATTGGCCGAGAGCCCACCACGTGACCCGCAAATAACTGCTTACAAATGATTAATTACTTGAAAAATCTTTACACAGGAAGTCGCTATCACCCACGGGTGGTTTTCAGACGAGACCTGACACTAAATTAAAACTATACTAAACAATATAAACGCTAGGTAAGACAATAAAAAGTACAAAGTCTCATTATTGCCATCAAAATTATGCTAAAAGCTGGTCTAATAATGGTCTGCTGATGCGCAACGTCGTGGCTGCAAATAAATGTCTGGCTGCAAATAATATTCTGCGTATGCGTAAACGAAACCACGCTTTTTCTCCTTCTTGCGATCACTCTTGTGTGAAATGGCAGATCGCTTCGCTTCCGAGGATATTCATTAAAAAACAACTTCGGTGATCGAATGATAAAACAATTATTGTACTCCGTTTATATCGCAAAACAGCGGCTTCGGCGAATAATTGATCTGCTCGCCTCTTTTCTTAGTCCCTAGGCCTCATTATTCTAGACTACGAGTAGTCCCCCATTTTTCCTCAGGGATAGTAGAGTGAGCGAAACGCGAGCGCGCGTGAAAATCACCCCACGCGAGAAAAGGCGACACGCCGAGTGTCGCCTTTTCTCACGTGGGGTGATTTTCACGCGCGCTCGCGTTTCGCTCGCTCTACTATCCCTTGAGGAAAAATGGGGGACTACTCGTAGTCTACATTATTCCGGCTGCGCGGCCAAAGCGTTTCGGGTCACGTGGTCCAAGCGAACATGTTTCCCGTCCGTTCGCCTCCGACACGTCACTGAAGTAAATTGACCAATAGAGACTGGGAAAACGCCTTACAGGGACTAGGCAACTCGCCACTGACAAATCACGATATTTTGCTCAACCTCGTCCAATAATTGTTAAGTACTGGACGCGTTTTGGATTTCCTATTGAACTATTTATTATTATTGCTATGAGTATTTCACGCTATTGCGAGCATTTCTTTTTTCGTGACTGTTCAAAATCTAATCTACATTGACAACATATTTTTAAAATTCTAGAGTGCATGTTATTTTAGGCCAAAGATCTAGAACGCATACCTTTACGGATCGTGCTATATTTGTTCCTCCCGATGTAAGATCCTTCAGTAAGCGCCTTATAACCAGTGTCTTCGTCTCTCTATGACCTACTGTTTGCGTTTCTAAAGGTTTTAGAAAAAAAATGTAAGAATATTCGCCTGTGTACGCGCTTGGCCACTGCAGAGATCGCAAGAAAATATGTGTATTTTAACACAGATAGAACAATAAAACAAAATATAAAAAGTGCCCTATTAACTTTAAGTTCGAGGTTTTTAAGGGATGAGCGGACGTTCTGGCTTCATGAGCCTAGAAATAAACAACGAATAATTATAACTCTGACTATTTAAAACCAGTACTCTGAGACCATCGATCGCTCGATTCATTGTGGCCTGACTAACAATGAAATCCCCGTCAAAACTGCCAGGATATGAGTAAAAACAGATTTATTATTTCGTTTCTATCGTTGTTTTGTTTTAGGACTAACCTGCTTCTTGTTCTCAGAAGGTTATAGATTATTTGTGAACGTCCGGAGTAACTACCACAGTGAGCTTGATCGTGGAACGTGCACCACCGACTGTGATCGTGTGACTGTTCACTGAATATTGATTTTTCGATTAACCTTATGTACGATACACGAGAGCATGTCAATCTTCTTCCAGCATATTGACACTTATTCGTCAATATCATGCATTGATAAATATCTGCTGTCGGGGATTTGTGACAGAGGAGCTTAGAGAAGGAATTTTGTGTTTATTGTTCAATGAAAAATCAATATTTTTTTTAATTATTTTTATCGACATCAACAGCAACATTACAAGGCATTTCATAGATATCCTAAATGCCGCAGCAAGAAAGAGCTTTTGTAATAGAGGCTGTCCGTTAGGCCCCCCAAAATGCAAAATACAAATAACTCTCTATTTATTGAATAATACTTTTTAAAAAATAGATCAACCACAAAGCCCTCAAACTGAAAAGAAACAAAATTATATGTACGGCTCGGAGATTCTCCTGGCGTCTATTCAGTTTCGATATCTAGTAGCGTTTAGAATGAGACATATTTGAGTTTCGTCGTTGATGCTTTTCTTGCTGAGTTATGGCCAACTCATTTTATTGCAAGTGTGCCAAATTGGTGAACAAAGGATTTCAATATTTCAAAATGCGTGCATTGGACTCTTGGAGTACTGGAATCATGGTTTCTGAGAAGGAGTAGAGCGATTTTTGCATCTATCCTCGACAAGGTTTTCCTTGGTCATTTATGCACCAGTAAAGCCCCGCAACCCCCTACCCGGGGGATTTGGGGTATTAGCGGGAGACTTCAGCGGTTTTAGAGTGCCACTTTCGTCCCGGTATGAGGGGTTCGATAGTATTTGGGTGCAAGTACCAGCGAGCGAGGACCTTAAGCGGGGCTTAGACGGAGATTCGTATTTGACACCATCTTGAATAGATGTGGTACGGGAACAGGAGCACATAAAACTTGCTTCTAACGGGAAATAACTGGAATTTTTGTTCTGGGTGGGTGTATACGCTGGAAGGTTCATTTAATCATAATCGCCCGGAGAGGTAAAAAGTTTAGAATGCCAGTTCTGTAACTCAAGGAGGATTTATTTCTCAACCTTACAATTCTGGCTGTGTTAGAAATGGACAGCATTGTTGCTTCTACTTCTGTATTTGTAAATGTTCAATTTGAGGCAAAATTCTAAAAATATATAAAATTTGATCAAAATTGTACATTTACGATTTTGAAGTACTCTGTTGCCACGGGGGAGGGGAACAAAAGTGACATTTTTACATAGGAGATTGCTCTTCGTGACAGGGAATTTGTTCCACTAAGATTCGCCTGATCTAATGCCCCACTATTCCCCGAAAGGGGGGTGCGGGGATGTCCACTGACTATATTAGTACATTAAATAGCAACAATTCTCCTTGAAAAGTGCGATGGGTAGAGCCAGGTTTTGATGTTATTAGGTTGGGGGAGCGTCTTGACCATCCCTGGGTCGTCGATGGAGACGATCGGCGCACAAATCACCGGTTTGCTTAATGGCCTCGTTCGTCTGAGCGCGCGGTCATCAACGCGCGAAAATTACCGCCTCCGACTTCGGAGAAACGAAAATTAACAATGAACTCTGATCGCCCCGAGACTGGCTTTTATTCGTTCGCTTGCCGTTTTTCACGATCGCCATTCTCGCTCTGTTGCATGTTACTTTGATCCAGACTATCGTGATCGATTTATAAATGCTCCCCGTTTTAATGTTCACAAAAGCGCTCATACTCCCCGCCCCCCGGGAATAAGGCGAGGTCAATTCTATCAAGGCGAAAGGCGAGAATTCTACACGTGAGAAATGAGGCCAACTGAGGAGAAGGGTGAAGCAAACAAAATAAAAAAATTTGGGTTAGTGGGTCAGCTGCTCGTCGCGTGTGACAATTCCACATGCTTTTATCATCATCATCAATTATCAGACGCCGAACTTTTCATGTACCGAACCTAATGCATAAATTCTTATAACGTACTTTGTAAGCAGTTTGACCGATGATGATCATTTTTCTCCTTCTGAATTTAGTTCGGCTGGAATTAAGATCGGCGTCAGAATCAATTCAGCCGGTCCAAATAATTCGGGTCGGCCCTAATTCGAATAAGGTTCGGCTCATGAAAAGTTCGACGTCTGAAACGGGCCTCAGTTATTTTGTGAGTCAAAACAGTACTGTAAAATTCCGAAAATAAGCCGCGGGGCTTATATTTTTCAAAGGCCCTTTTTGAGGGGCTTATATACGCAGGAGAATTTGCGTTTCAAAATCGATCGGGCTAGCTCAAAGTTGGAAGAAAATTTGCCGCTTTTGCTTTGTTGTACTTTGTATTTGAGGACAATTTTCAAACTACAAGCCCGGGGGCTTATATTCGGACGGGCGATTTAACGGAGGGGTTTTTGCGTTACGGGCCAGTGGGGGGCTTATAATTGGAGGGGCTTATACATGGAGGGGCATATTTTCGGAATTTTACGGTATTTTGGAATGCGATGAAAGAAGGTGTAAAGTTCTTAATGCTGGGCGTTTTTAAAACTGATTTTTTGTTCTCAGACTGCGTCACTTTCAAGCAACCTTCTACTGATATAGAAAGAAATATATATTTTTTTGTTGAGAGCACGGTAGAGAAAAACTGAAGAAGATTAAATCGGATTGCAATTATAGTATTTGAAAACTGTTTAGCCTAACAAATGTTGAAGTTTATCTTTGTTTTATATAACTTCAAATATAATACTATGGAGACAAATTCATTTATCACGAAGCTGTGACTTTTTCACTCACAATTTTGTTTTTCGCTAGCGTCAAGCTCCATATCGAGAAATGGGGAGTAACTAGCAATACTTCTTCTTACGCCGGCACTCCTTTGCGTAGGCAGTGACCTATTTTGAACTGTTATACTGCTGGAAATTTTTTCCCAACAGCGGGCGCTCTTATTGGTTACTTCGACGTCACATGACATCTAACAATGAAAATGTTTCCCTCCAAAATCTCTGAGTGGGCAACATTGCAAAATTTATGATGCCAGAAGGTAACAGTGCACTGTTCCCCGCGAACGTTGACTGACGACCGGCGCTACACTAAGGTTGAACGAATTTCCAGCTACATAACAAATCACTTAAAGACTGGTCCCTCGACAAACAGTTAATTTTGTTTTTCAATGAGATTCTCGGGAAACAAAATTAAGTGTTTCCCTCGGGGCCAGTCATTAAGTGTTTATTATTTACTTATCACCACTCTTGCAATTCTGGAAGTTCGTGGGTAAAAATTCGAAGGGTTTTGTCATCTTTAAATGCTGCCCAACAGTACAATTTCTTTGTGAGATTACACATCTTTCCGATAACTCCGCACTCCGTTATTAAATGATAGAGTTGTGGTTTACCGCTAAATTCAAAGAAGACATGACGGCTACGATCGTAAAGCCTCATCCGAGCTTTGTATGGGTCTTGTTCGTCACTTACGAACCCTCTCATATCTATAATGTCTTCAAACAAACCTTCTTCGAAGGTTTGTATCTTAACGATAAAACGACTCCCATCCCTCGGAGGAGGAGAACAGTAGTTGGGACCACCAGGTTGTAAGCTTGGATGAGTCGTTAATTCAATGATAGTATCCGGCGCTAAAAAGGGTATTTCTACTTCCACAGAGTTCCTTTGTCCAGTAGCTTTGCATGTGTGCTTATGCTTTTTCCAGTGTAAAGTTTGGCATTTCTTGCTGCAGTACTTTGCTGTCATACAGCCTTTGCACGATTTCATGTCAGAATCGTGTCGAAAGCAGAAGGCACAGTGCGCCTTCATGGTGTCCGTCTTGACAGGTCTCCGAGCGTGATCATTTTCAAAACAACGGTTGGAGCTGAATTCTGCCATTACCATGCCGGGAAAAGATACATTGTAATTTAACCATGGTTTTTGTATACTTTCTTGTTTTATGCGATTAAAATGAGTTTGTAACTCCACTGGAAAAGAATCACGTTCGGCGAAACGAAGTCCTTCACGATAAGCTGGCCCACAATTGTCATGGATAAGGTTGTTTACCACTACACAAGGTGGCTTTCCAGGAGACTGGGGTCCCACCATTATACCACCCATTTTGTTGTTACAAATCTCATTGTCTCTATAGACACCGCCAGAGTTGTTGTGAACACTAACTCCCCACCAAATGTTTTCAAACACATTGTTGTTTTCAAAGAGAATGTTGTTGATATTAAAGGTCGAGCGAACACCAAATGTGCCATTGTGATAAACTTTGTTCCCACGCATAATAACGACGGGAAATTCATTTGAAAGCCAAGGAACGCCACCAACCACAACGCCTTCGTATTTATTGTCATAAATCTCACAATCTGTTATTATTGCTCCTTCTGCTTGAGAACCAGGGCCACCCACTGGACCCTCGTCAAGCCAAACTCCCCTGACATTGCCATATATCCGGCATTCATGAGCTAATAAACGCTTTTTATTAAACACCCTTATTCCGTAGACGTACCCGTTTTCCTTGTTTCCGTTTCCACTGATCTCACATTTAATCAGTGTAACTGATGAGTTAGGTCCTTGTGCGCCTATTCCGCTTCCTCTACTGTCCTTAACTGTACATTCAACTAACTTTGCTGTTCCATTAATTGCCAACGCCGGTTTCATTGGTGTACAGTTCCGAAAACTGCATTTGTGAAATTCCACATTTGCATCTGGAGTTACAGTTATCTCCTCCTTTCCTATAAAGGCAATGTTCTGGCAAAAGCACCCAAGGTAGAAAAAAGGCTGATCACAGGTGATGACAACATCTGGGCTTTTTTCAAGGGCAGCTAAGGCAGTATTCGTAATGATTTGGAAGTCGGTTAAATCATACTGCCCATTCTTAAGAAGAACTGTCCTCTGCCATCGGTATTCATGGTTAAGTTTAAGACAATGTTGAAGAGATTCGGAGGAGTCAACAACTACCCATTTCCCATCCAGGTCCTTAAACACGTTTACAAATGCCTCGAAACGACGACAACTCTTTCCATCGCGGTAGTAGGCATTGGCTGCAGAACACAAGGCGGGAAAACGCAATCCAAGTCCATTGAGAGCTAAGGCTTTCCTCGTGTATCCTTTCCAGCAAGTGGGCAAAATCTTAATGTACTCCTCGGAATCTTGTAGACACTGTTGAAAATTTCGCAGTTTGAGATATGCAGTTGCTCGATTATTAAGCAAACGGGGATCCGGTTGCTTCCCTTCATCGTATGCTTCAAGGGCTTCTGAGTAAACTTCAACGGCTTCTTCATAAAATCCTTCTTTGTAAAGAGCATTTCCTCGTAAACGAAGTGGTTCATTCTCAAAATGGCTGTGTTCGGTAGCATGTCCTGAAAGCGTCGAACACTCCACTGGACGTCGAGATGAATACAACACCGTTTTCTGAATCACTTTAGGGAGAGGTAAAACGTGAGGAAATAGTTTAGTTACATCCTCCTTTGAAATGCGCCCGTCGGTACCTGGACAAGAATCAAAAATACGAAATGCTAATCGTTCGGCTTCCTTGGCCTCTGCTTGATGTCCATGCACACTAAGTTGGATTGCATTTTCGTAAACAACACGAGACGTCTCACTAGTTAATGCCACTTCTTTGATTTCTCTACCAATGTTTTCCTCATACAGCAACGTTTTGAGGTGTTGCTGTAACTCAGAGGAATGTGTTGTTAGTCTGGACCACAAATAGAACAGAGATTGGTTTGTTAAGAAAGCAGACGGTTGCTCTTGGTCACTTGATGAGACATAAACAAGGACCTCGTCTGGTGATGGGCAATTTCGAAAAGCCTGATAAAGAAGTTTCACGGCTGAACGCATCGAGGTGGCCGTTTCTTGAAAGGTCATTTTGTTCCGAATTACTTCCTGAACCAGTCGGTGCAATGCAAGAGTTCTGTTGCTTTTCCTCTGGAAGAGTGAAAACTTGGTCAAAACCTCTACAATTTGGTTTTTCATCAATAGAATGTTAGAGGTTTTATCAGTAGAAAGCAGTTCACAGTTGATAAGTTCTTCCTGAATTTCATTTGGTGCAAAAAACGCTGAGGCCTCTAAAAATTTAGATGCTAATTCGCCTTGCGGTGATTTTTTAACATACTCAAAGTTTAAAAGCCACGTAGTGTGCACTGCAAGTCGGTTCTGTGACTCATATTCCCATAATGGTTTTGCACGTGGATGCTCACTTAATAACTGCACTCGCTGAATTTTGTATGATTCAAGATAGTCCGCGATTGAGCACTGGAGGGTTTTGATGTGTGCACCAGCTTGTTCTAATGCAAGAGGAAGACAACCGAGCTCCCTCACCAGCTCATCTAACTCCACCTCTTTTCCTGTACTGGTGGCACCACATCGGACACGAAGAAACCTCTTGGCTTCTTCTTCTGAAAAGGAGAAGATCTCAACACAGCAAGATGGCTCAAGATCCACCGAACTACACACTTCCTTTGATTCACGTCTTGTGGTAAGCAGGATGTGGCCATGTGCTCGTCTTTTCCACCGACCAGATAGAATCATGTGCATTTGTTCAGAGAATTTTAGTTGGTCGACATCATCAAGAACCATCAACCACGGTTTTTCCTGCTTGGAGATCCACATAAGAAGTTTGGACAGGGTGAAATCAAATGAATTTGCCTGAATACCTAAACGCAGAGCTAGTTCACTTACAGAGCTTTCAAACTTTCTGTCTTCCTCCATGGAGAACCAAAACACACCTCCTTCGTATTCTTGTTTACGTTTCCAAGCAAAGTAGGTTGCTAGAGTGCTCTTTCCACATCCCCCGAGACCACAAATGGCTGCCATTTTTAATTCTTTGCGCTTGTTCAGTGGAAGGCACTTTTCAATATTTTTAATTTCGTTTTCTCTTTCCGTAAACCACTTGGTTTGCTCTGGGGCATCAAATACAATATCAATGAAATCTTCTGAATGTGGTGGTAAGCTTTTTACGGCTGTTTTTAAGAAATCCAATTCTTGCTGCATAGAATTGGTTTCCACTTCTAAACGTTTGCAGAGGTTTTGCACTTTTTGTGTACTTTCCCGGCACATCTCCAGTTCCTTATCCTTGGCACTCATTTTCTCTGTCAACATTTCTTTATGTTGCTTAAGTTCTTTGCAAGTTACTTCTAACTCAGATTGCTTTTCTTGAAGAGTGGCAATGGCCGTATCTAACTCAGATTTAAGAAAGCCAAGAGTAGCGTATATGCGCCTGTCTTCGTCCTTCAAATTATCAAACGAGTCAGATAGTTGTTGAACTTCCTGCCTTACGAGTTGAAGAAGAGTGTCGTCAAGGGGCTTTCCGAGACATATGTCTTGCCCTGTAGAAAAACATTGCAGGTGATTTAAAAACTGAAAACAGTTACTTAAAAATGTAACAAGAGCAATCTTGGACGCAAAATATGAAACGCGAAAACCAAAGTCGCGATTCTAAGGGCCTGACGACCTCTGTAAACAAGCTTTGTAGTATAGAGCATAGAAAGAGGTTTACTCAGTAAACTTAAACTTTAGATTAAAAGTTATTGGTTAGTTTCCCTTTTTCCTCGTGGAAAAGCCTGGATCCATACAACCTGTAAAGAAAGGGACCGCTTAAGGTATTTCAACTCTTTAGAAATTTCAGTGTTCGGAAACGTTGTTTTTGCGCATGAAGAGAACGAGGCCAAAAGCTGCAGTTTTAATTTACCAACAGAGAATCGTTTTGGTCAATATAATTACAAAAGAAAAATCAGTACGAGATAACACTGCCGTTAAACAGGAGGACATGTCATAGAAGAAAGGAGGCACTAATACTGCAGAAATATATACCAAGTCAACCAGTCGTGGAATGTGCGAGTTAACGAGTGCAATGCATAGTTTACCAAGAATTAACACCGACAATCAGGTTTGGAATCCTAACTCTTCCGCCAATTTTGATTTTACCTATGGTAGTTAAGTTTTATTGGCTATAACTTCGAAACAGAGGATGGAGCTAATGGGAAATTTGGCACAAATATATAACTCGTCGTTCTTAACATTTTAAAGAATAAATATTGTGCTGTTAAGTCACGTGACTATTTTACTAAAAATGTTCAATAATTGACAAATTGGTGACGGCTTTAAGAACAGAAATCAAGCAATAAAATTTTTCTCAGTCGTATTAAATATTTCTAACACTTCACATTTGGAATGACTGTCCATTGCACTTCAATGAAACAAAAATTATGGGGGAGACATTATTTTAAAAGTCCAAATTTAATCTTGAATAATTTAAAACTTTAATTTTAAACTTCGAGTATATTCATGCCAAACTTAGAAAGTAAATTATATTTCTCTCTATCAGGAATGCCAATTTATTTGTCCAGACAAAGTACAGTAAATGTGCCACTAATTCGCCAGTTTCCTTCATTTTAAATTTTTGGTCACGCGGCGTCAAATGACAAGTTACGTGACTATAATTAAATGTTAAGGCACAAGAGGACCTCAAGATTTACTTTGGGGGAAAGTTCATCTTGTTCTAGGAATTCCAAGCGAGAGATATTGTCAATTAATCATTCTCCGAACACATCTTTGACCCAGGCCGATAAACCTCTTGAGTGTTCCATCCTCGCTTAGTACGTTTGTCTACGAAGATAGGAGTGAGAGCGAGTAATGTCTAAATGTCCTTTATTTATACCTACTAAATGAGTTGTAGCGTCCAACCTCGTCCCCAGGGCGCTTTTCCCTGGCTTTGGCCAGGGAAAAGCGTCTTGATTTACGAGGTTGTTGTAGCGTCGTATTTAGCAACTATATTTTATTATATAGCCGATTCAATGAAGGTTGCTTTGGACATTGGGAATTGCGCATTGACATCCCATGCAATTGTTTGGTGATCACTCAGGCAAATTATTGCAGTTCGTTCCGTATATACATAAATGCCTAATACCAAATTATCACTGGCGAATTGCGAAAGCCTCAACAGTTATTGAATTAGGCATATATAGAACGTGACGCTATAAATGAACAACAAGTTAATATACTTGGGGTTGTAGAAGAAAATACAAGGGGAATAACCCTCCGTCATTTTAAAACAGCTGTTCAATACTGCTCCGCTCTTCCCTTCTAGCAATGACAGCTGATTAGAGGTTTTTTTTTTCCTTTAAAAGAATAGTTGATTCAGACGTAAGTAAAAATAAATGGCGAAGAGTATGTAACTGTGAAAGTAACTATGACTTTCAAGTCAGTACCATCATGAATTTTATTGCTAACCGGTCCCCCCTCTCTCCCCAGCTGTAAGACTTTTGTCGAATTGTTTAGGGTAATACTGAAGCAGAACCTTCCCTCCTCAGAGAAGATCGTTTTCACATGCCGTCACGGGGGCCATACTAGTGTACAAATCAATGGATTGGTGAACTATGGATTAAGACAACATGGATTAATAATACATGGTTTACATGATTTGCCTTTTATATTATAGTAACTGAGTGCAACCGAGTTAAGTGAGAATGGTGTCATTTTTTTAAACATATACAAGCCTTATGGCCTTAGAACTGTTTCTCACGACGCATAGGTAGGATGTCAAAGGTTTGTTGGATTTTGCCTATTACTATCATTTTATAAAATAACTAAGATAGTACGTGCGTTCTGATTGGTTAAAAACCTATAGTTTATGGTGCCGGTAAACTCATAGAAAACTTAAAGTTATTTTATAAAAGCAATAAACCACACTGTGCCTTCGGCTCTTGATTTACAAGCTTTTCGAGTGTTCTCCCAACATCCCAAGTGGGTTATCACGCGGTAAAAACTCATGGAAAGTGTGGTCTATTGCTTAAATAGATTATTATCAACACATTACTACAGTGAAGTCGCTTGCCAATATAAATCACTTTACCTTGTTTTCTCCACAGTTTCAGTGAATCCAAAGCTTTTGCTTCATCGACGAGAGGTAAACTTAGTCTTTTAATCAAGGCCTCCATAAGATCAAAGCATGTGTCATAATGTCCCTGCGTCCAAGCCGTGAAATCACAATGGGCCCATTCATTACGAACTTTTGACCTAACATCCTCAGCGAACGGTTTGACAGACGTGAATGGCGGAGCTTGATTAAGAACTGCTAGGGCTGCTGAAGAGTCAAAAGAACTGTCAAACGCATTGAACTTCGCCATGAAAGGTTTCATAAATAGCTTGGCCAAAGACACCTCATCCCTTACACAGCAGTCGTAGTGGCTACGGTGCGGGTTTGTGTGGTTATTATTAATACTTTCATAGTTCAAGTTCACCGTGGACGGTGGAATATTCCTCATGAAAGATGGGTACGTTTGTTTGTCCAGGCCAAAGCTTCGGACCAAATGCTGGTAGAATGGAGTCAATTCGGCTTCAATCTTGTCTCTGAGGCATGGAGTAAGGACATGGTGAAGAGCAATACCCACCACTAGCCAACGGCGCTGCTCCTGAGAGCTTCCTGATGAGGGCAACGCCATTCAGGAAAGCTGTTGCTCCTCTCGACCGCTTCAGATGGTTAATTGTCTACAAAATGGACACAGTATAAATTTTGGACCCCACAATAAAGAGAAATTCGAACTGATTTAAAATAAAACTTGGCCCCATGCCACAATGCTTTGATTATATTTAAATTTAACCAATCTTAAAGGCAATTACTCTGAAAATAGGGCACAATAAGCGACGGGAACAAAATATTTTCAGTTATAACTAATCACTGGATTTTAACCAAAATCGATTAGAATTGATGAGTCGGAAGTAGTTTCTCTTCTTTCGACAAAAAGTTCCATTGAATCCATCTTCCATAAATTGATTGAACTTTGTCTTTTAATTCGTTTCGCTAGGCTGACCGGTTTTAGGCCGCCGCCAGAAATATGTTACAACTTCGTTCAACGTTATGACAGTCCGAACAAAGTTATGGCTCGAAAACGTCCTATTCCTGAAACTTTATTTGCGGGAACAGTTAGAAATACATTAGCTTAAAAAAGCTCTCTCTCTCTCTCTCTCCCTTATGACATAAAAGCCTATATCATAAACTTACCAATACTTTGGATCTTGTACTTGATTCCTTACATTATTTTATTGGAATTAAAGCTACCAAGCTATGACTCCGTCACCCGCTATACCCGGTATAGTTGCTTTCTCGTTGTGAGAGGACGTAAAGGACAAAACGTTTCCCTTTTTATAAGAGATATTTCGGAAAGTTTACAATCTTCCAATAGACTTGTTTAGACATTGTCTTGTTTTCGTGTTAGCCAAGACTGCCTAAACTAACCCATTGCAATTTGCATTTGATACTCAATATTACACAAGAATGGAGAGTTATGTTACAAACAGTCATAATGGTCGAAGGGTAGATTCTTAGTGGTGTTGTGTTGGAGATTCGCAACGTTTTCGGTCCTAGAAAATTATGGGAAATGTGTTTTGCAAAATAGCCGCTCAAGCATGCATGCAATGCATGTCAACGATCACAATTTGACGATGGTTATTCAGTATACGTATCATGAGACGTACATGAAACCCTGTATGTAAACTCACCAACATACAAGAAAAATATCGTTGTAGATGTTGGTGCCCTTGCTTCCAAGAAAACAAGTAATTTAAGAGACAGATTTAAAGCGCCTCAACTTTGCCTTTATTATAAGTAGATGATCAGTCAGCTATGAACGAGGAACATTCTTTTCATTAATAATCAAAAAACGAAGTAAATAATCGAGTGAGTTAGCAAAACGTTATCCTGAAAAAAATTATACATCATTCAAGTTGTGGAAAAACTAAACCTATCGAAAGTAATGAACATAACTTTCGAACTTTAGTTTTTCACCACTTCCGTGATTCGATACATATTACCATAAAATAGTACACTTCTAACTAAATACTACTTAAGTCATCAAGGTGTAGACTTACCCCAAGACTTACCAGTTATTTTATTTCCCTTCGTGATCTACGAAAAGAATCGAAGCTATCAGAATTGGCGATGCCTTCAGCTAGAACGCAAAACCGAAAGTGGTTCTTGTCTAAGATCCGGGATACTGCATATTGAAATAGCTTCACTGGAGCAAGTCATCTCTGACCTTGCTAATTGGCGCGGCGGCAGGGGTCGCATATTTTTTAAGCATATCAAGCTGCAAAGTCACATCAAAGTTAAAAACAACGGTGCTGTGAGTGTCGTTTATGTTGGAAGCTCCCTGACCGTGCACAATCCTTTGTTTTTTGTTCACTAATTGTGAATGAATAAATTAATTCTATGTTTCTATCGGTCTGCTCAGTAAGTTGAAACTGATAGGCTTGCCGTATTGAACGTTGTGCACGGTCAGGTGCAAAAAAGCTAACAAAAACTTATAACGAAGAAGTCTAACGGGTTTCATAACCATTCCTTTACAATAACTTTGATCGACATGTTTGTGACAGGTTTGTTGCCTGGATGTAAAAGCAAGCTTTCCTGGTCCTTGGGCCTCTTTTTTAAGCGCGACACATGCATTCTGATTCATCCGAAAAAGTTTATGATTAGCCTCGGATACGTCACCTAAATGCATTGACAATAAACTGAGGCTTATGTCACAGCGGCCATGCTTGTGGACGAGTATAAACTGCATCTCCCTTCGCTGGGAACTTACCTTGCGAGCACTGGTTTCGTCACGAACGCTGAGCTACGAAGGGACAGAAACCAATGCGAACGTTATGACTGCTTCTTTGGTCGAACCACCATCAAGAACGTTAACGAAAAAAGTAATTAAATTTGGACACGTAAAACCTCTGTAAAACAAGTTTAGGCTCTCTCGCATGTGCTTACGCTTCTATGGGACGACGAGGTTGGGGAGTACCAATCAAAATGGGGTCTGCAGCTCTGGAATGTTCTTCTTATGAAGCACTGTTTACGATAGAGTCATGAAGGGATGATTTACTCTTTTTTGATGCCTAGCAAGTGCAGCAGGTGCCTAACAAGCGCCTCGTCTCTTTATTAATATTAATAAGTGCCTTCCGTGTGACTGCATACTAATGAAGTGCCTAGTCAACGTCCAGCTAGCTATGTAAAATTCCTCCATTCCTCCATATGTTAAGTAATACGTGATTAGCCGTTTATATATTTAATTGTACTTTTTATTAGAAACAAAAACTTTGCCTAGGACAACCAGTTCTCTTCTTACTCTGATTGGTTGATGTTAAATCCATTAAAACTAAAAGCGTGCAGACTTCGAAAGCATCATCTTTACAGGTTACACAAACTGAACATTTTTAAAAATTAACTTATCATCACTAAAATCAGTTATAACAAAACAAAGACACAGAGGTTAACTGAAAACTCTTCCGATCTTGATTGGCCATTAACAAATCCGTTCTCTCTGGTCCCAGCGTTTGGTGAGCATCTGACTTATTCGCTTTCTCGCGCACTACGGGTGTTCTCAGTGAATAATCCGTCCATGTTGACATATTTTTCGTAGCCTGTGCCAGGCTCTCAGATAGTATAGTGGGAACGTATTAAAACGAGCAAAGCGAAAATAAGACGCGCACGACTTGGGAAAGGGGCGGTAGCGGCGGGAAAATGGGAGAGAGAGGTTAGGCCGCCCTGTCTCTCCCCAGCCCCCGCGCGTTTTTCGCATTTCTTATTACTGAACGACTTTCCACCACCATCTCGTAGCCTGCAACAGGCTATATTTTTCGAGAAGGGATCTCCCTATAGCGTAAGCCAACAGTTCACTAGCTTTGTCTTTCGGTTTTTCTTGTTCTTTGTAGTTGTTCTTTTAGCTTTTGCTTCAAACGACGCTTAATTTCGTTGTGATATGGACAGTTCGTAAATTACTTCTTGTCTCGGTGCCGGATTCCAAGTGGTAGTACCATGATTTTTTCCTCAATTATCTGCTCTACTTTCGTAAACGAGGACTTTAACTTCAGGTTGCAGTTTCGCCTCTTGTGAATATTGTCTTCGCTGTAAGTAGTCTGAGTGTGTATGATTTATAAACATCCGCGAGATGGTTAGCTAATCCGGACAAGGTACTTAGCAGCGCAACCTGGAATAGAGAAATTTCTACAAACTCTCTTGAAAACCATGATAACAGTTCGTTGGCTGAACACAAATGACAAACATTTCGCAAATATTAATAGCCAGTTTATATAGAAGGTCAGACGGACCAAAAACAGGTAAAAAAACCCCCCTAAATCAGGCCTAAATAGCCAAAACCAGGCCAATAATGACGAAAAGGACTTACTGGCCATATTCTGCTGACCGTTTTCTCCATTCTATCTCGAGGAAATGACTAACAACTGAAGTCTTGTTTCACGTTCAGTTATTAGAGTAAAGGAACTGTGCCGACTTTTGCATACAAATTCGCTCTATAGTTAGACCCATGGGACAGCCTTTGACCCCGTCTACACGTATCCCGATATTTTTAAATCCGCAACTTTTTCCTTCCGGATTAAAAAATTTCCACACGTATTCCTATTCAAATCGAATTTGTTTGTACCCACGTATCCAACACGTATCCGGATTCATTCTAGTATCCAGGACTCCTCTGAGAATATTGGCACCAGAGCAGGCGTAGAGATTACCTTCTTGAATACAGTATTCACGGTAAAGAACTGGGATCGACCGTTTTACGTCACCGGATAAAAAAAAAATATCTGGGTTTAGCGTCCACGCTATTCCGGATTCATAGCGTATTCAAAAATGTCCACTCGGGAGAGCGGATTCAAAAACTTGCGAATTTGTATAAATGCCGAGTTCACCGGATACGCTGTGACGGAAGCCTCGTCCGGAAAAAAAAAGAAGCCATCGGAGCGTACACTTGAGCGTCATTGTATCACGCGTATGTGATGATTTTTTTAAGTCAAGCACGTGTGTGTGCCGCAATGTTGTTAATTGGTAAGTGTTGGTTGAAATAGGTGAAAAAGGAGACGTGGACGAATGTTTCCTCATAATTCTTACGGCAAGCTGGCTAACCGAATACCGAACGCGCACCATTACTAAGAAATGTTATGGACCGAGAGCAACCTCTCCATTTCGAGTGGCAAGCGAACGTGTGAGTCAGCTGCGAAGCTGAGGAATTGACCAGCTCTCACTTCCCACCCCCGGCTCCTGCCTTGCTCCCGCGTCTCCTTTCACGCGCCACTCGCGCGTTGCTTCTCTTGGAAGAGTTGCTCGCAGGCTGTTGCGGTTTTCATTGTTGTGAGAGATGGTTGCATCGACATCATAATGTCTCACTCAATTTCAAGCGTACCCATACCCCTAAAAGTTTTTATCAAGTGCTGACATCTCCTTTGGCTCTCAACACCTGAGCAAGAGCGGACAAAATTGCTCAAACTCTCGTCTGTAGCCAATTCTGTCAATTCCCATTTAGCTCCAGTTATCGGAAGAAATCGCTCTGTTTCTAGGTAAAAAAAATTCTTTCAAACTGAAAAGTATCCCTGTGTTGTTTTGAAGTGTTGAAAATGCTTCGCCATAATTTCTTATAATGTTAAACATTGTCACACAGTCCTGTCCACTTTCATGAGATCTCAATACCTCCTACAACAAAAAAAAATTCTCTAAGACTACCTGAGGTTACTGGTGGTGAGTAACAAAACAAACGGTGAAAAAAGAGTTCTCTAATTTTTCTACATGTCTTAATTTCAAAAAGAGCAAACCAGTCTCATGTACTGATTAAAGATGTGTAAGGCATGGTCAAGGAGTCAATTACGTTGAGAATGAAATTGGCTAAACGTTTTTGCTTTTTATTAAGTGAATTATCTCCATCTTGTGCAGCGAGTTGTATGGTCACGATTGACTTCAAATTTGCAGATATATAACAAGAGAGCTCTGAGGCTTATTTGCTGAAGTCAGGGAAAAATCTGTTGTCGGATTTCCAAGTCATTTAATATATTTTTTTTGCAAAAATGCGGTTTTCAATACATGCCGATATCTCAAACGCTTTTATACCTACAAGAAAATCATAAATATTTCGTTAAAGTTCCTTTATTCTTTATTAAGGATGCTAAAAATCATAGACATCGGTTAATTAATCGTTCCTGCTGAAAAACGCGAATCAAACACACATAGCAACAGGCATATAAATAGGTTCAGGCCACCTTAACAATATATTGTTTACGAAGTTAGTATCATTCATTGATTAAAAGTGTGATAATAGATTTTGTGTCTAAAGGTATAAAGCAACTGATCTTACGGTAATTTATATCCCATCGAAATGAACGGATGGCTTTAAAGATACTTCGTGCAACCTTTCCAGCCTGTTTCTTCTTTTCTTCTGTGTTTTGGTGATCGTCGGTCAAGTTTGTGTTGGGATCTACCAAGCTTGCACTTCGGGGAATTCGTGAGTAAAAATTCGAAGCGTCGTGGCATCCTTGAATGCCGCCCAACAGTACAATTTTTTCGTGAGAGACATACTCCTCCCCATCATCCCGCATTGCATTATTAAATGAAACAGTTGTGGTTTACCGCTGAATTTAAGGCTGACATGGCGGCTTCGATCATAAAGTAACATGATAGCTTTTTCTGGGTCTTGCGCATCACTGAGAAACCCTCTCATATCTATTACGCCTGAAAACTCATTTGCTTCAAAGGTTTGTATTTTCACAATAAAGCGACTTCCATCTCTTGGGGGAGGAGGAAAATAATCTGGACCACTTGGTTTCAAACTAGGGTGGGTTTTCCTGAAACTGATACCAGGAATAGACTCTCGAAAAGTCACCTCGATAGTGTTCCTTTGTCCAGTAGCTGTGCACGTGTACTGGTGCTTTTGCCAGTGCAGCTTTTGACATTTTTTGCCACAATACGCTGCCGTCATACATCTTTTGCAGAATTTCAAGGTAGAGTGACGTTGAAAGCAAAAGACGCAGTGCATCTTAATGGAAGCCTTTAACCGTTTATCCCCATAGTCATTTTGGACACAACGATTGGAACTTGGACTAAACTCTGCCAATACCTTATTTGGAAAAGAAACCTTCCGCGATAAAAAAATTCCTTCAGCGTCTGGTGGTATTTCCATAAAAAACCTTTGTAGTTCCTTTGGGTATGAATCACCTTCGGACGGCCGAAGACCTTCGTAAAATGCTGGCCCGCAATTGTCGTGGATAAAGTTGTTTATCACGACACAGGGTGGTTTTCCTGGACTTTGGTAGCCGACCCTAATACCACCCATCCTGTTGTTACATATCTCATTGTCTTTATAAACACCGCCGGAGTTGTTGTGCACATAAACACCCCACCAAAGGTTTTCGAAAACGGTATTGGCTTCAAAAAGAATGCTATTAATGTTAAAGGTCGCGCGGACACCAAATGTACCATTGTGATAAATCTTGTTTCCACGCATAATGACGTTGGTAAATTCATGTGGAAACCATGGACAGCCACCTACAACAATGCCTTCGTATTTATTGTCAAAAATCTCGCAGTCTGTGATTACAGCGCCCTTTGCGGGAATGCCCATTATACCTTCATCGATCCAAATTCCTCTAACATTGCCGTAGATGCGACATTCATGAACGAAGAGACGCCCCTCCTTAAACACTCTTATTCCATAGGCAAACGCTTTGTCTTTTCTTCCGTTTCCACTGATCTCACATTTTACCAATGTAGCTGACGAGTTAGGTCCTTGCACGAATATTCCCGTTCCTCTACTGTCTCTGACATTGCATTCCAAGAAAGTTGCAGAGCCATTAAAAACCGATAACACCATTGCTTGTGATGTGAGGTTTCGAAAACTACACTTGCGGAATTCCACACTTGCATCTGCGTTAACCGTAACGGTTGTCTTTACAGAAAAGACGATGTTTTGGAAACAGCACTTTCCGCACAAAACAGGTTCTTTGCAGATTAAAGTAACATCTGCATTATTCTCAAGAGCAGCTATTGTGGTGTCCCTAATGGCACTGATGTCCCTTAAATTGTACTGTCCAGGTCGCAAAAGGATAATTCTCCCCTGCAGACATTTGTTCTGGTTCGTTATTAAGGAGCGTTGCAGACTAAGAGAAGAGTCAACAACCTCCCACTTACCATCCAAGTCTTTAAACGTGTCTGCAAATGCCTTGTAATGACGGCAACAGGGGGCGTTGTGGTAGAACGCAATGGCTGCAGAACATAAAGAGGAAGAAAGCAGTCCAAGCCCATTGAGCGCCAAAGCTTTTCTTGTGTATCCTTTCCAGCAGGAGGGCAGAATCTTGATATACTCCTCAGAATCTTGAAGACATCTTTGAAAGTTTCCTAGTTTAAGATAAGCAGTTGCCCGATTATTTAGAAGGCGCGGATCTGGCCGCTTTCCTCTCCCAGTTGCTTCCAGAGCTTCTGTGTATGCTTCGGCGGCTTCTTTGAAACAGCCTGTTTTAAATAGCGCGTTCCCTTGCAAACGAAGTTCATCTATAGATTCGTTTTGTTCACTACCCTCTCCTGCCAGCTTTACGCCCTCAATCGGTGGTCCAGATGAATACAAAACAGTTTTTTGAATCACTTGAGGAAGAGGAACAGTAAGTGGAAATAGTTCCGTCAAGTCATTGCCAGAAATTGGCCTCTTAGCACTAGGACAAGAATCAAAAACACTAAAGGCAAATTGTTCGCTTTCCTTGGCCTCCGCCTGATGTCCATGAGCACTTAAATGAACGGCATTTTCATAAATGACACGAGACGTCTCATGCGTGAAAACGGCTGCTTTGACTTCTCTTTCGATGTCCTGCTGATAAAGCAATGTTTTAACATGGTGCTGCAGCTCAGAAGCATGCGCTGTTAGAATGGACCACAAAAAGAATCGAGATTTGTTTGTTAAGAACGCAGACGGTTGTTCTTGTTCACTTGACGTGATATAAAAAAGCACCTCGTCCGGTGAAGGGCAATCTTTAAAGGAATGATAAAGAAGTTTTACCGCTGTGAGCATCGATGTGACAGTTTCTTGAATACTCATTTTGTTTCGCATGACCTCCTGCACCAGACGGTGTAATCCAAGGGACTTGCAGCTCCTTCTTTGAAAAAGTGAAAACTTGGTCAAAATGTCTACGACCTGATTTTTCATTAAAGGAATGTTACAAATTTTATCAGTTGAGAGCACCTCAAAGTTAATTAAATCTTCCTGAATTTCATTGGGGGCAAAAAATGCTGAGGCTTGTAAAAATCTGGATGCCAATTCTCCCTGCGGTGATTTTTTAACGTACTCAAAGTTTAAAAGCCACGTGGTGTGCACTGCCAAGCGGTTTTTAGACTCATACTCCCAGGAAGGTTTTTCACGCGGGTGCTCACTTAACAGTTGTAGTCGCTGAATTTTGTACGCTTCAAGATAATCCGCGATTGAGCACTGAAGGGCTTTGATGTGTGCACCAGCTTGTTCTAACGCAAGAGGAAGACAGCCAAGCTCACGCACCAGCTCATCTAACTCCACCTCCTTTCCTGTAGTGGCGGCGCCACAGCGGGCGAGAAGAAAACTCTTGGCTTCCTCATCTGAGAAGGAGAAAACCTGAACACAGCAAGATGGATCAAGATCCACCGAACTATACACTTCCTTTGATTCACGTCTTGTTGTAAGTAGGATGTGGCCGCGTGCTTGCCTTTTCCATCGACCAGACAGGATGATGTGCATTTGTTCAGAGAGGTTTAGTTGGTCGACATCATCAAGAACCATTAACCATGGTTTCTCTTGCTTGGAGATCCTCGTCAGAAGTTTGGACAACGTGAAATCAAATGAACTTGCTTCAATGCCTAAACGCAAAGCCAGGTCATTCACAGAATTTTCAAACTTTCTGTCGTCCTCCATGGAGATCCAAAATACACCTCCTTCGTATTCTTCCTTACGCTTCCAAGCAAAGTGACTGGCTAAAGTACTCTTTCCACATCCTCCGAGACCACATATGGCTGCCATCTTTAATTCTTTGCGTTCGTTCAATGGAAGGCACTTTTCAAGGATATTACTTTCTTTTTTTCTTCCCGTAAACCACTTTGTTTGTTCTGGAGCATCAAAGACAGTAGCATTCAACTCTCCTGAGTGTGATAAGCTTTTCACAGTTGTTGTTAACAAATCTAAATCTTGCTGCATAAACGCGCTTTTAGCCTCCAAACGATTACAAAGATTTTGCAGTTTTTGCGATGTTTTCCAGCACATCTCCACACCTTCTATAATCATTTCCTGCTTTTGTTTTAGATCTTTGCAAGTGATTTCTGTATCAAATTGCTGATCTTGAAGGGACACAACGGCTCTGTCAAACTCACACTTAAGTAGATTAAGGGTTACGCTTATAAGGTTATCTTGCTCTTTATGATTATTCAAGGACTCAGAAAGTTGGTGAACTTCCTTGTGTATGAGTTGAAGAAGTGTGTCATCAAGTGGCTTGCCAAGACAAATGTCCTGTCCTGTGAGAAAAGATTGCAGGCAAGTCATTACGTGATACTTCAAATAAGGCACGCTAAAACCTCTCAGAGCTAGTCATGCAGCTAGCAGCTGGTTACCTGCCTGTTTTTGCTTTATTTTATTTTATATTTACTTGAGAGCTAAAACAATTTTAACACTTTTCAGACCAGCGTGGTGGTTGGGGGGGGGGGGGGGGAGGGGAAGGGGGGGTCTTGGGAAACGGCCTTCACCAAAATTTTTTTATTATTTCTAGATTGGCTAATAACATTACTACTTTACCCAAATCTACCATTAGCTTTCAAATCTGGTAACGTGATATTGGCTTTTAGGTATTAACTAGAGAAAAACGGGAATTATAACATAGTGCGAGTCCTATTGAGTCTATATAAAACCCACGGCCGTGCGTATATAAGATGACGTGTTCAGTTGTGTCTACGAAACTCGGATTTCCGTCTCTTAATTCCATTTCAACAAAGTTTCCAATAGTCGACGGCAAGAACTTTTGAAGAAGTTTCAAGCGTTGTTTGGATTTGAGCTTCTATCCACTCAAACCAAGAGGAGGTTAAATGTTTCGCAAATAACCAGAGCTCGAGTTTTAAACGTTCTGGCTCAGAGACTGCCATTCAGCTCGAACACTTATATGAACTTGTTTAATGTTTGTTTATGTTATTGAAAACAAATAGTTACACAGTGATGGCGAAAAATTATGCACTTTTGTTATAACCGAACAATCCTAGGCGGAAAATTTCTCTTAAAATAACAAAACAAATTATTACAAAACAGCTTTCACTCGTAAAGAGTCAGATCTCTGTATTCACGCTGTGCTTAATGAGAAAGATTTAGTGTGTTCGCGGTGCATCAAGGAGGAAAGGAAGGAAGAACACGAAGTACTTTTCAGCCTCCTTCCCAAGCGCCTTTGCGAGCACCAATTTTCCTTTCACCATTTCTTTGCGAGAATAAATAAGTGGTGACTGGGTTACTTCATTCATGAATTACTCCAGGCTTTTAGTCATACAATATGGCCAAAAAACCTTACTGCATGGCTTTGCATTATTGTTTTAATGCAGCATTAATAAATTATTTTTCGGTTTATTACATAACCCCTGATTCTGGCTACTATTCATTTATTATTTTTGTTCACATAACCACTGATATGTCGATGGCAGGGGCGAACTGGAAAATCAATGAAAGGCTATGAGATAAGTCAGCGCAGCCAATATTGTACCTTGTGTTCTCCACAATCTAAGCTCACCCAAAATCCGCGCTTCATCTGTGGGAGGAATTCCCATGTTTGTTACCAGAGCCTCCATGAGGTCAAAGCAAGTGTCAAATTGTCCCATTGTCCAAATTGCGAAGTCGCAATGGGCCCACTCGTTACGAACTTTTGACTTTACGTCTTCAGCAATCGATTTTACCGACGCGAATGGCAAAGCTCCACAGAGAACTGCAAGGGCAGCTGAAGCGTCAAAGGAACTGTCAAACGCATTAAACTTTGCCATGAAAGGTTTCATAAACAGCTTGGCCAAAGATACCTCATCTTTTACACAGTAGTCGTAATGACTACGGTGCGGGGCATTGCTGTTATTGTTGATACTCTCATAGTTTAAGTTCACCGTGGATAGTGGAATATTCTTCATGAAGGTTGTGTACGTTTGTTTGTCCAGTCCAAAGTTCCTCACCAAATGCTGGTAGAATGGAGTCATTTCAGCTCTGATCTTATCTCTGAGGCATGGAGTGAGGACATGGTGAAGAGCAATGCCTACCACTAGCCACCGGCGCTGCTCCTGAGAGCTTCCTGATGAGGGCGACGCCATTCAGGAAAGCTGTTGGCACTTTTATCGGCTTTAGATGGTTAAGTTTCTACAAAATGTATAGAAAGGTATAATTGAGTCCATCAGCGGGCACATTAGGGACACATAAGTTTTTTAGCTACGCACGTCGACCGGAAAAGGACTTTTTGCATTCTTGGGACTTGATTTTGACCACATTTTCGGGAAAATCGTCTATATGAGACTTAAGAGTCACATTTAGCAATACAAATTTGGTAGCTTCAAGGCATATAACAAGGGAATGCCACTCATTCCGATTAAGGTGGGTCGCTCAAAAACGCCTTCGCTTAAGGCCGCGGGGGACACCTATCTACGATTAAGTTCATAAACCAATGCAAAATTTTCCTTGTGCTAAATCGTTTAAAACGCTTATATCTCGGCTGTTTTAGAGGCGATTTCGATAACATTTTACAGAGACATTAAGCAATGATGGAAGTTTAGGAAGATTGATTTTTATTTGGTAGATCGCCCTTTACAGCGATGCTTTATTGAGCCACAGTTGCACAAAATTTGAGAAATCGTGATTTTTTGTCTAAGTTTGCGTAAAGAATAGACGACAGCACTCTGTGATTCTGTTAATAAATGATCGGTCAAAACCTATAGTGAGTCATTTATTGAACATATTTTGCAATTTTAAAGTTTGCCAGCAAGATATAATCGTTAAAATGCGCAATATCTGTCATCCCTGAAATTAACGCCTTATATCTTTTTATAAAAGCGTTCTTATTCGAATTCCTTTTAATACATAACACACTACAGTCTACCAAGTTTACCCCTCAGTACTGCCAATTCGTAAAGTTTTGTATCTGCGCTGAATTCTTGGATAAAATATTGTCGGAAAAGTCAAATTCACGAGTTCCAAGCAAGATATGTAATTATAGCCCGCACACAGACGTTGTTTAAAACCAGTTGTCACCCTCTTGGTCGGAATCGGCTCACGGAAAAGCCATTCTTTTGAAACGATACGGCATTCAGAGCGTTCAAGCTGTATCTTGAAGCATGTTGACAGGGGTACCCAACGACAATATTCGGAAAATATCTGTTCGGAAGACGATTTGAGATCTAGAGGTTTCTGAACATTTTTTGCAAAATTTCTTGCTAGTGTGCCTCTCCTAGGATTTTCGAACATCTAAAAAAAGGTATAATTGCCCATTTTTAACGGATTTTTGCCCTAAAAAGGTCACCTACAATTTTCGGGAGCCTTTTTCCTGGCTGAAATTTTCGAAAAGGCAAGTTTTGATCTCTATAATTTTCGAATCATTAGACTTCCAGCTAGGAAATCCGAACAGATGAAAAATTTTTAGGGGATAAAAATATGCCCTTATCTACCGCTTAAATACTAAAATACGTTTAACAATGCTATGTTTAAGTAGTTTTGAATTATATTCTCGTTGGGTGCCGCTGATGTTGAAGACTTTATGCTATTAAAGTAACAGCGGCCGCTTGGAATCGTTGAGTAATGATGACGTAAAAGAGAAAATCCCGAAGGGGCCACTTAGGTAGATTTTGTGACATTTATTGCACAGTCATCGATACTCTTTTGCGTTACGTGTTATCAGTGACATTCTGTGGGGCAGCTGTTTTGAAAGTAATGCACCAAAAGACACTCGTTAAGCGAAGTTGAAATTATAAGGTGCGTATACCTGTTTATACAATTGGAGAGTTTGCCAGACACGAGTTCACAAATCTTTGATTGGAAATAATTTGCCAGACACTCTTTCTCTCTTTTTGGGAGGATAAGACTCCGACCACAAACAAGCAAGGCTAGTGAATCAACGGCTAGCTTATCACTAGCGAAACATTCCAACTTCCAACTGAATAAGTGTTTGGAATCTTGCGTTTTCTGTTTTTATCTCACCTATTATATAGAATATGTGTGAAAATCTTCATTATCAATCGGTATATTTCAAAGAGCTACACAACGACCAAGAATACTATTGACCGAAAATATACACAGCGGGCGTAGCGGTTGTGTCAACTATTACATATAACTGTGTAGCGATTTCCGTCACGCGTGTCCAAATAAAATTTTAAAAAAAAGCAAAATAATAAGTGTCGGCGATCTCGAAGATTTGTCCATAAACGTGGGAAATAGCGAATGAATGGACGAATATTTTCACAGATGTGTCAGGCGAGTATACTTAATTAGTACCTACTAGACCTTTAGACGATAAATTATTTTTTTTTGTAACTCGAAGTCTAACTCAAACTCGAACTCGAATTCCAACTCGAACATATACGACTCCCTCAATATTCGTATCTTAAGACTGCTAAGTAAACTCACAAAACATCCGAGAACTAGTTATTTGCAGAACTAAGCTATCTTCTCCCAAAAAGACGTAAATAATTTGAAAGGCGGATTGAAGTGCCCCAACTTCTTAGTCAGCTAAAACGAGGAACATTCTTTTTATTACGAGGACGAGATAAACCGGCGACTGAGTTGACAAAAAATTTTTTTGTAAATAATGTACAACATTATTCAACTTCTGAAAGAAAAAGAGCTGTCGCAAGTAACGATAGATTAAAGTAGCTGTCGAATTTCTTCCTGCAGCGATATTATTCACCACTTCCGGGATTCGATAAATTACTCCAAAAATATAGCCTCATTTTCACCCAATACTATTGAAGTCATCTAAATGTAAACTTACCAATTGCTGTATGAAGATTTTCCTTATATTTGTGATATTCTCGAGAGCATACGACGTAAAGCCATCAAGACTCCATGAAATCGAAATCGGCCGTGCGTTTGGCTTGAACATACAAACTTCTTGTCTAACATCCGGGATATTGGACAAAGCGGTAACTACCATAATATTCTTTAAATTATTGGTTGGTGCTTCATGTAAACCTAGCTGTTGCATCATGTTTTCTTCCAGTTCCACAAACTGAATGTGCAGGGATCTAAATTTACGAAAACCTGATGGATTGCACGTGAAAATCATGCAAAGCACAAAAGATATTGTAAAAGTCGGGAATTTATAGAATATTATGTTATAGCAGATTGCAGATTTGGGATTGAAATAGTTTCGCTTGAACATGCCATTTGTCGTCTTAACCCTCGATAAGGAAAGCCGTACATTAGAGCCCACTTGAGGTCAGTTGTGACCCACTACTTTAAGAGAACAAAAATTAAGTAAAGGCTTCGGAGTCGGACATTTCACGGAATGAATTTTTATTGCTTTTGAACCCCCAGCAATATATTTAATATTTGAGGTAATTCCCTATTTAAGACATTACGACAAAAAGGGGGCGGTAGTTTTCAACGGTCGCCTAAAGAGAGGTAAGAAAAGATCCTTTTGTAGTCCAAATGGTTTTAATTGCGATTATGATAACTTCCCGGCTGAAAAGGTGCTAGTCTTGAGACTCACCTTTGTCCCTTCGCGCAAAATGATTATTTAACCCTCATCGTACCAGACGAGGTCCAATCAGACCCCTGCTGGGGTCCGTTTCTCGAAAGTCCCGATAATTACGGGCCCGTAAAGCTGTTGTTGTCTACATGCAAGATAGAGGTTTCAATAGTTTTGCATCTAACGTGATAAAACAATCAGTTTCTGAAACAAAATGGAGTACTTTGCTAGCCAGGACCCGCGCTCTAATTCTCTATATTTTGATTTGAATACTTGATTTCGGGCCCGAAAAGTTACCGGGAATTTCGAGAAACGGGTCCCAGGCGATGATCGAGAATCACCATGGCTGACATATGGTTGGGGAATGTTTTTGAGATGTAAAAGCAGCTTTAAATGCATAAGTTAACTTTTAAATTCCAGACGAATACTTAAACGTGGCTCTCATTTTTCTACTGTGGTACAATGAGACCCCAACTGAATCAAAAACAACAGTAACAGGAATAGCAACAAGAACAAACAAACAAACAAAACAACAAGCAACAAAACAAATACATCTATGCATCTTATACCACAGTTAATATTTTAAAAACTCCACAATTTTGGCGGTTATGGGGTCCGTTTGGACCCTGGCTGGTATGATTTGTATGCAAAATAAGTAGTTAGGACGAGGGTTACGGCTGAAATTGCTCCATTTCTCGTCGACCGCACAGAGACCTCTCGATGTAACTGCAACATCTTACGTCGAGCTGGCCGATTTGGCTTATAAATTTCCTGAAGATTCAACTGACCGTACCCGCTTCCGTCTATCTTGGGTTACTAGGGAGGAAGTACTAAAGACCATGAAGACCCTAAAATATGACTGTTCTAAGGGTCCTGACCAAATCCCAACTAAATCTGTCAAACTAGTGGCTGAGTATCTGGCAGAACCTCTGACTATTGTAAATGGCTGTATAATTAATGCATACTTTCCGAAGTTATGGAACATCGCCAGAGTCTCGTCCATACCCGAGGTAGACAACCCAATAACCAACGATCAATTCAGGCCTATCTCGACTACTAGTGTTATCTAGTCAGGTGTTTGGAAAACTTGTTGGCTTGCAGATGTCGGATTTCGCAGATGGCGCCTCTCTTCCTCACGACAGCATTTCCAGTTTCCGCAAAGGATGTTCGACCACAACTGCCCTCCTAGGTACAAGAGACGATATAAAGCGCGCCATGAAGAGGAAAGAGGAGATTGTTAGTTCTTGCTGATTTTTCTAAAGCTTTCGACACTGTATGCTTCAACAGGACCATAAAGACACCGCATAAAGTGGATTTCTCTACGGACTATCTAAGATGGCTATTGAGCTACCTATCTGGTCGAACACAGTTTGTGCAAATTGGTGATGTAAAATCATACCTTAAATCCTCTTAGTTTGGTATACCTCAAGGGTCTATCCTTGGACCTATCATCTTCAACTTGTATGTGTCAGATCTACCTGATAACCTCGATCCATCTTCAAGATGTTCCCAGTATGCAGTATGTATATATATATATTTCTATATTATTTTCATGTAGTGTCAGCTCGAAGATATTAACTTGTTAGCTACTCTAAAATTCGAGTATAAATTAAGTTTTATGTTTATGTTTATGTGTGTTTCGTCCATGCCATAGAACCTGAGTTTTTTAGAACAGTCCGTGTGGTATGCAGTCAATTGCTATCGCGTTCTGCCTTCCAGTGTTCTGTAAGCGTTAATAGCGCAACAGCCATGAAATGTTCGACGGGCAAACACAAAATCGTGAAAGATAGGCTCAAAATATTTCCTTTAATCCTAAAAGTTGCTGAAAACTTGTGTGAAACTTTATTTCGGAGTGTTGAATTTATAAGAGGTCACTTGAGACGTGACGTCATAATGATATTCAAAAGAAAATTCTGAATGAGGTAGAAATGGTTGATTAGAGCTAAGTCTGAATCATGCGTCAATTTTTTGGTTTGCCTTACAAAGATTTTCTGTAGCCGAAATGGAGGAAAATTTTGTTTTATTCAAAGGATATTAACAGATGAAAAGTGCCACGTGACTTGATTTGCTCAATTATTAATTCAGTGAAAATGAGAGAAGAACATGAGAAGAACACTGTGGGTGTGTTCCTTTCGGCAAATCCAAATCCAGATTTTTGATCTAGTGAATCCTTTTTGAAAAAGGATTCATTGGATTTGAAATCGAAGAATCCAAATCCAGATTAACGATTAGTGATCTACGCTGTTCCATTCACAGTGGATCCGAAATTAGTCAGATGATCCAGCGGTATTTCCAGTTGAAGTATTCCCATAGAGGCCGTAGAGTTTCCTCGTTGCTGTCATTTGCCGCAAAACATCTGAAAACATTAGAAGATTGTTCCTGGTACATTAAAATATCCATATACTAACATTTGTCTCTAAAGATTGCTTGAAATCAGAAATAAGTAAAAGTAACAAATGAACTGCTATCTAACTACAAACTCGCTTGTAGACGCGACCGGCACTCGATCGTGTTACATAAAAAAATCCGAGCTATGGAAGTGGATCAAACTGGCCGACATGCTTTAGATAATTTTCAATTTTAATGCGCTTCTTTCTTTGTCTGTTTTATATGTTCCATCGTCGCTATTCGAACTGCCGACCACCAAATTCTGCACGGTATAATCGCATAATTTGTCAAACAGAAGAAAACACGTCATTTTTTGAGAGGCTCCCGTGCATATTGCACGCGTTGGCGAAAGGTTACCAAGGTTACAAATCCAATTTCGGATTTCACGTTCCTTTCGACCTCGAAATCTGGCAAATCTAGGATCAAAAATCCGTTTTTGGATTCGCCGAAAGGAACACCCCCTGAATTTAATACCTTCCGTGTGGCATCTCGCCATCCCATTTTGAATTTTAGCTAGTGCGGGAGCTGCAGAAACAATGCCCTCCCACGGTCCCCAAGGGAAAAGCTTTTTTCTAGTTGTAATTCTCTCCCTGTGTCTTTCCTTACAAGAAAGTAATATGCTATTTGTAGATCGCCCCGTCAAATAGAAACATATTCACTTGGATAGTTAGAAGGGCCTTAAATGCAATATCCGACAGAAATAAAACTAAAACTTAATTTGCTTTGCGACTTTTAAAAAACAGAAAATTACTGTTACGAAAATAACGCCAATCATTTCTGGCTTCAAAAGGTAGATTGCGACGGGATAAAATCCGGAAAAGGGCGCAGATCAATTAAAAGCGTAGGGTTCGCTCAGCTGGCAAAGTACTGGTTGTAAAAAGAGGATGTCGTGGGGTCACTGGACCAATTCTTAGGGTTTTGAAGTAACTGAGAGAGAAGGTACTGCTTTCGTCCTGTAAACAGCAAAACTTCG